TTATTAAAATCAAGTAATTGTAATTTTCGATATCTTTGTAATCCTCCTAAGGTGTTTAATATGTCATCATTAATATCTGAAATAGTTATACTATCAATAGTATCATCATAAATAATCATTTCGAGATTTCTAACTCTTTCTTCCAATTCATTAATAATTATTTGCTTTTCTTTAGATACTTCCTCACGTTCTTTAAACTTTTCTTCATAATTTTTAATAATATCTTGCTTAGCTTGGGTTTCTTCTCTAACCTTTTCTTCTAAATTTTTTATAGTTTCTTGCTTGGCTTTGGTTTCTTTTTCTTGCTCTCTAACCCTTTCTTCTAAATATTTGAATTGGGAACTTAACTCTTCGTTATTTTGCTCTAACTCCTTAATTCTCGTTTCAAAGTTATTTATAATTTTTTCCAACTTGTTTTTTAAAACCATTTTATTTAAACTTGTTCGGCTGGTTATTTCAATGTATAGCTTTTATTTTTTTTACTTTCATAGAAATTATTCAGCCCTCGGATAAAAGTTTTTCCATACAGGTAATATTTCCATAAATAAACTAGCTGTTTAAATCATTTCCTTGTCCTACCAATGCTTTCCGAATTGAAAAATAATGAACTGGAATTACCGTGACAAAATCATTGATAAAAAAAAAAAAAAATTTTTTTTAAAAAAATTTATTTGCAATCCAAAAAAAAATAGAGGAATTTTTAAGAAAGGATCTTTCAATCATACGGTATATGTATTAAATTTTTTATTAATTGTTTAATTAATTAAATTCAATTCTTTTTTTTCTACATAATAATCTTTGATGAAAAATGCGGAGGGCATTTGTATAAAATTAGTAATTTGTGCTATATCAATACAACTTTAAGCCGAGGCGCGAATACCTGTAATTCGACTAGGAAATATAAATACAACTGATCAAAAACATTTTTCACTAGTTATTTAAGCGGAATTGTACTAAAGATACTAAATCTCATATTTAAAGTAATCATTGCATTGTACCTATAGAAAATTTAAAACATAAGACTGGACTTCTATCTGCGAATGAGATGGGATACTGGTTAATTAAAAATGATCTTTCTTATAAATTTTATCTAATTGTAAAAATAACTTGAATCTATCAAATGAAGAAAAAGATCAAATTTTGACGTAAAATTACTTTTTGGTAAATTTAATGAGTACGCAATTGATTTGTACGACCAAAAATATACAAGCGAAAAAAAATAGAGAATTATAAAAAATTTTTTACTGTACATATAAGGAAAGCTAAACACAATGGAACTAGCTTTTCGGCATCCTTTTCTTTATGCCAATTAGATTACGTTTATAATCACGCAATCAATTACAAATAATAAAACATTCGATTAAGTGATTAATCAAATTGTAATTATTAAAGTTGGATTGTAATAAATGATTCTAATAATATAAAGAAAAAATAATTAGTAACTAAATTTTGGAAGATTCAATATATATTATCACGTAAATGACATTTTTTTTTTTAAAAAAAAAAAATGGAATCGATTCTGCGAAAATCGATTCAACATAGTAAAATGAATCGAATCGAATCGAATCTTTTTCATTTTTTACATATTAACTCCAAAGTATTTTTCAATGCTGCCTTGATCATTTTGCTAAAATTAGAAACGGGTATGATGCCAGGTTGAACGTTCATGAAAAAAAATTTGGAGATTCGATTAAATCGATTCCAATCCCTACTCCAAACCCCAAATTAAAAGAAAATAAGTTTCCTTTTTAAGTTTCATTTTTCTCTTTTTTTAGTGCTTAATGACGCTCAATATCTTATGATCAAATCTACCTAACTTTAAAATATAAACGATTTTTTTATTTGTAAAAAAAATTATAAAAAATAAAACACGATTTTTGAAATAAAAATTTCAACATCATGCTGAATTTATTTAGTAGTTAACATGTTTATTAATAGCTTTTATTTTAGTAACTCCTTCTTACCGAAGTATGAATTTTCTTATTACCGAAGTGTTGATAAATTTTAAGAGATATATAATAAATGTTGATTGTTTACGATAAACATTTATGAATCAAATTTCTTTGAAAAAAACTTAAGAATTAAATTATTCAAATACAATAATTTTAATTATATTTCAAATTAATCAAATGGACGAACTTTATTTCCGAGCTGCGAAATCTAAAAGCTTTAACAAATTGTTACAATAGATGGGGGAACGGTTACATGAAATGTTCGAAATATTTTTTTTATAATAATTCTCAATTAGTAAATTTAAGGGAAATGCCAGTTCGTAAGTTATCGCAATTTAAAAATTGATATAATTTATAAAAAATGATCGACATCACGCGTGCTTGATACTTTATAATTTTTGCTCGGTGAAATGAAAATAACCATAATGATTTAGAAATAAAAAAAAAGTATTACATGAGATCAAGATTATGCGCGTCTATTTTTTCATAATCTACTTGTTTATTTTTACAATTACAGACGGTTTTATTAATTTGCTTTACTCTTTTTTTTTTACCCAATTATATACGCATATAATAATAAACTTAAATGAAATGTTATAATTTGTCTTGGTTTAAGATTTATAATTTTAAGTTGAAAAAAACATAATTCACCACCTTTATAATATCTTAAAGCAACTAGAAGAAAAAATATATTTTTATTATCATATCCCAATGATAATTACTAATAATGTTAAAATCAATAAAATTCTAAAAGACTTTGATACAAATGGAATTAAAAATATTGTTTAATTTCATATATGAATTTTGTAATTATCTTTAACAAATTGATTAACACAATTCATTAATGGCTCAAGAGCAAGAATCATAATTGTTTACTTAATCAAAACTAATGTAAGGAAGATTTTGATATTTTTTTTTAAAGGCTCAATAAAATAATGACAAAATGATTTACTTCGATGTGTAGGATTTTCTAAAGTATGAAAATAATAATGATTTATTGCTTTTGTTGCTTTTTAATAATATCATCATTAAATTCTTGAATTAAAGTTTGTCCATTTGAATTAGTAATACAATTAGATTATTTTATATTCTTTTGTTATTAATTTCATTTTCTCTTATTGGAAAACTTTGAAATAACTTTCAGTTTGATTAATTTTAGTTTATCCACTTTGATTTCAAGTGATTTTTTTTCAATAGGTACTACCATAAGCAAAAGCAATCCATAATTCATTATTTTTATTATTAATAGATAATTTATTAATTATATTATCATCAATTAATAAAAGAAAATTTTAAGGAATTTCAGATATATTTGTTACTCTCGTTTCTTTAATTAAAGCTTGAATAAGCAAGTCTCTTACAGAAGTTTTATAATTATCTGAACTAAGAGGAACACACAATATGATAATAATGAATCATCTTGTGTTATGTCGGGGATAGTGAACCATTGTGATAATTGTGCCTTGAAGACTCTATAGATGATTTAAATAATAATCTTTTTGTAAATCACTTATATTTTTACTAGCCTTTTTGAGTTCGATGGTTATTTGGATTATCTCAAATAAACCAAAGGTTTAAATTTAAAACGAATTGATATAATTTGAAGGAATTTCAGATATATTTAAAGATTAGTTACTCTCGCTTCTTTAATTAAAGCTTGAATAAACAAGTCTCTTACAGAAGTTTTACAATCATCTGAACTAAGAGGAACACACAATATGATAATAATGAATCATCTTGTGTTATGTCGGGGATAGTGAAGCATTGTAATAATTGTACCTTGAAGACTCTATAGATGATTTAAATAATAATCTTTTTGTAAATCACTTATATTTGTACTAGCCTTTTGAGTTCGATGGTTATTTGGATTATCTCAATAAATCAGGAGTATCAAATGTTTAAATTTAAAACGAATTGATATAATTTGAAGGAATTTCAGATATATTTAAAGATTCCTCGCTTCTTTAATTAAAGCTTGAATAAGCAAGTCTCTTACAGAAGTTTTACAATCATCTGGACTAACAGGAACACACAATATGATAGTAACAAATCATCTTGTGGATTGAATATCTTTCTGGCTATGTCGGGGATAGTGAGAAGACTTCATAGATGATTTAAATAATAATCTTTTTGAAAATCACTTATATTTTTACTAGCCTTTTGAGTTTTATGGTATTTGGATTATCTCATATAAATAAGAGCCTCTAATATGTGGGAACTACTAACCACATTAAGTGCGAAGGTTTAAATTTAAAACGAATCGATGTAAAACTCCCGCACAAGCGCGATTGTACTGGAAAGTTACCCGAATTTTTGCCCCCCTTTAAGTTCGTCGCCCGGATCCATGTTGTTCTCCGCAGAGAATTTCTTGGGTAACGTCTTTTCTGTGTTGCATTGTCGACACGCTACTCCCTTAACAAGAGACCCACTCGTCAAATCAAACTTTCAAATAAAGTCACAATAAGCCCAACCATTAGAGGCAACCTTTTTGTAAAGTTACAGATCTCATTTGAAAATTACATTATTCTATCAACTAGAGGATGTCTACCTTGGGGATTTGCCGCGATTATGAGTTACAATAGGCGCGAAATTAAATCTTTCCCTTAGTTTTTCAAGAATCATTAAAAATATCTGGACCTGACAAAATTATCAAGCTCTCCCAATTAAAATATCAAATCTCCAGTTAGTTCCATTGTTTGCAATTGTTAAGAAACTCTTACAAAGTTTTGACTGACGTTACCAAGTTCATTAAAGCTACCGTATTAATTATCCACATACTGATGTATTCGATACGTCCTATCATCCTAGGATCGATCGGATCAATAATGGATTCGAGCCTCCATCAGTGTTCCTCTGGCTTCTCCATATTCAGGCATAGTTCATCATTCAGAAACACTCTTGCACAACAATATCAATTGTTCCACATGATACGATTAATTACCACTACTGCAAGACCATTTTTATGCTTTCTGTGGCACCAAAACATTTCCGGTAGTCGATGTGGCTGTATGTGATGTCAATAGGTTAAGGCCCTTCCACTCAATGATGAATCATTACCAATCAACCGCATCGTTGTATAAATAAACTTTCCGACAATTATAAAGATATGTTTCATAGTGACTAGAAACTCCCTATTCAACATTTGCCAGGTCAAAATAGTCAAATACAAGAAAATCTACGTTTCTTCCATCTAGGCAAATTCCATAGTACGTTACGATATCCATTACTGACTTAACAGTATGCGAAGAAATGGATAACCTTAGGGCGTGTAGTTTAACGGTGGACTTGCTTAAAAAGAAATATATGTTACAAAACCGACCTCTACAAAATGCTTTTTGAAACATTTTCTATGATAGTTCTGCATTTTCTCTTAATTATAGAGAAATTGTGATAAAAAATATTCGAATATTTCATGTAGCTGTTCCCCAATACTGCAACAAATATTCTATAACAAGCCAAATTTTCTGTATGTAATT